ATTGGAGTGACTAGAACTGGTTGAGTTTTAGTCCTTCATAAAAGAAACAAGTCCAGAAAAGGTTTGTGAAGGTGAGAAGAGGAGGCATAATTTGTCAGAGAGAAATAGGCCAGGTAGTTCTAGTTGCAGTCAGGCTATGAAGTGACAGACATGGACCAAACATGTTAAAGGGAGGCTGAAGAACCTCTGGGAGTTTGACCCAGTTGCCTAGAGAGCTAGAAATACTGCTAATCTAATGAGGTGCCCTTCTTGCCCGTTCTTAACAGAACCAACTGGCTATTCTTGGGATGCTACCCCAACAAACCTGAGCCAACAATTACATCACCTTTCTAGGAAATGAAGGCCAAAATTAAGTCCTTTAGGTTTTTGCTCTTTTTCTTAAGTTGCTAATTCCCAAAGCCTTCTTTTTATGCTGTGACAGGCACTGCTAATAACTATTCTTGTAAACATGTCAAGAAGACATGATGGATGATGATGATGACGGTAATGATAATAATGATAATAATAATAATAATATTTCTATGGTACTTAAAGGTTTGCAAAGCATTTTCCTCACAACTCTGTAAGGTAGGGAGTTCAAGTATTATTAGATCCATTTTATAAATGAGGAAACAGAAGTTCAAAAAGAGAAGTGGCTTACCTCATATTCATTTCTCCCAGGATTGTTTTGAGGATAAAATGAGATAATTATTGCAAAAAGGCTTTATAAATGATAAATCACAGAAGACAATGGAGGTGTTGTGATTTATTTCTGCTCTGTGGTACTCTAAATGGACATATAGTTTACATGTCATTAATTCCCTTAAGGTGGGTTTCCTCTTCTGGACAAATCAGTTGCTTCCCATCGTTCAGATTACTCTGGAAGTTGCATCTCTTCCTCCATGCCTTCAGTAGTCTGTGCCTGGAGAGCTAAAGGCCCACCAAATGGGTCAGAACCTGAGTCCAGAGGGCAAGGTTAGGAAACAGCCCCCTCTAACACTGGAGCTGACCAGACTTGATGGACAATGGGAGCAATTCAAAGAATCATCAAATCCCTGAGGGGATTTAGAGGCTATCTAATCAAATCCTCTCTTAAACAGGATTCCCATCTTAGATAGTCCATGGCTAATAATGATACATCCTCCAGAAGCCAGACAAAGTGGTGAGCCCACAACTGCCAACCAATCCAATGTACATGTACTAAGTTCCGATCTCTCCACAATACATACCAAGACACCATGCTGTGTGCTAGGGATACAAAGACAAAACAAAATATGGAGCTTACCTTCAAGGAGCTTACATTCTATTGTGGGAAATATGAAATATACACAGGTATGTTTATACATGACAATTTCAGGAGGGAGAGAAAGAGCATTAACAACTAGGGAGATCAGAAAAAACCCACAGAAGATGTCAAATGAAACCTTGAACCTTGAAGAAGCTAGTAATTCTAAGAGGTGGAATGTCAAAGGAGCATACTACAGTCACAGAGGAAGAGAAGCAAGAAATGGAACTCCAAGTTTGAAGAATAGCTGATTGGCTACATTCCAAGGAATGTAGAATAATTAAAATGGAATGACACAAAATAATCCTGGAAGAATAGGTCATAACCAGATTGGAAAGGATGTTTAATATCCACCTAAGGAATTTAAATTTTAACTTGTAGTCACTGGATTCTTGAGCCAGGGAGTAGCACGATAGGCCTTGTGATTCAGGAGGATTATTTTGGCAGCTGGTAGAAGGTAGAATGAGAAAGACAGAAAAAAAGGAATGCAATTAGAGGGTTATAAGGATAGGCTATACAAGAGGTGATAAGGGCCTAAACTTGGGCAGTGACCATGTGAGGGAGAGAACATGGATGCAAGAAATATTGTGGAGGCAAAATCACTGAGGTTTGATATTAATTGACAGTGGGTGTTAAGGGAGAAAGAAGAGTGAAGTATGACTATGAGTTGCAAAAGTGTGACTAGAAAAATAACGGTGCCCTCAAAAGAAATAGACAACTCTAAAAGAGTAGGTTTGAAGGGTGGGGGGAAGAGGATAATGAGTTTCATTTGGGACATGTTGAGTTTGAGATGTCCATAAGTCATTGGTGACATGGGACTGGAATTTAGAAGACTAAATAGAATGGAATATTAAGTTCCAGGAATCATCTAAACAGGGATGGTAATTGAGGTCAACAAGCTTTTATTAAGTGACTGCTAAGAGCCAGACTTTTTGCAAAATGTTGGATGGGAGTTAATGACATCAGTGAGAGAGATGTTTTAGAGAGAGAATGAGAGAAAAGACAGCACAAGACCTCTGGGAACACCCAAGTTTAAGTGGTGCAACATGGATACTGATTCTGCAGAGGATACTGAGAAGTGGTTAGCCAGGTAGGAAAGCCAGGAGAAGAGCAGTGTCATTAAAGTAGGAGACAGTAGCATTCATTTACTCATTAATTGAATAAGATTTAATTTGCTCTATGTGCCAAGCACTGTTCTATGTGCCAGGCACTGGGGTTATAGAAACAAAACTCCAACTGACCCTATCTTCACTAGGGCTTGCATTCTATTGGGAGGAAACATGTACATAGAAAAATAAATACAAAGTAATTTCTGGCAGGGGGAGAACAGGACACTAGCAACTGGGGAAATTGAGATAGGCCTAATAGGGGAGGTGGCCCTTAGACTAAGTTTTGAAGGAATCTAGGGATTCTCTTTGACAGAAATAAAAATTAAATACATTCCAGGCATAGGGGACAGCCTGTGCAAGGCATAGCGATGAGAGATAGAAAGCGTTGTTCAAGATAAATAAAATAGGCTGGAATATAAAATGTATGAAATGGAATATGTGCAACAGTAGGCTGGAACCCAAATGTTAAGGGCTTCAAATGACAGAGAGAAGTTTGTAAGTTATCCTAGAAACAAGAGAGAGCCACTATTGTTTCATGAGCAAAGGAATGGCATCTTCAGACCATGTCACAACAGTATGGTGTGCTGGATAAAGTGCCAATCTTGGAGTTAGGAAGACTAAGTTCGAGCATTTCCTCTAACACCCATTTCCTATGTGACCATGGGTAGGCAAGTCACTTAACTTCTCTGAACCTCAGTTTCCTCACCTGTAAAGTGGGGTTAATAATATATATAGTACTTGCTTCATTGGATTATTGTCAGGAGCAAATGAGCTAAGATATAGAAAGTTCTGTGAAAGCTTTAATGCACTGTGTAAATGTCAGTTGTTATAGAAAGAGCTCGGGTGTCAAATACTGCAGAAGATCAAGAAGGCTGAAAACTGAGAAAAGACTATCAGATTTTGTAATTAAGAGATCATTGGTAACCTTGAATAGAACATTTTGAATTTATTGGTGAGATAAGAAGCCAGATTGCAAAGGCTTGAGAAGTGAGTAGGAAGTGGAAACAGCTAGGCCAGATGGCTTTTTCTAGGCATTTGGCTGTGAAAGGCAAAAGAGAGATAAGACAAGACCTTGAAGGGATCATGGCATTGAGTAAAGGTTTTTGGAGGATGAGAGACACCTCTGTGTGTTTGTAAGCAGCAAGGAAGGAACCAATGGGCAGGAAGAGAGTGAAGATTAGAAAGGGAGGGAATGGTTGAAGAGGGCTATGTCTTGGAGAAGATCAGAGAGGATGGCATCAAGAGCATAGGCAGAATGGTTCTCTTTGGCAAGGAAACTCTTCTCTTCATCAAAGACTGGGGTGAAGGAAGAGAGAATTGATGATGGTGTTGGGGAGCGTAAATGTGTAGAACAAGAGAGTAGAGGGAGTTCCTTTTTCTCAGTAAAGTAGAAAGGCAAAGTCAGAGGTGAGGAACCTATGTCCTTGAGGCCACATGTGGCCTCACAGGTTCCCCATCCTTGGGCAAAGTCGTCTACTAAAAAGGAGGGGGAAGGGGGCTTGAAAAGACACAAGAAGGTTTGGAACAACTGTTTTTAGGAGTATAGTAAGAGAGCCAATTGAGGAAGAATAAAAAGATTGCTGCATGTGGTGAGACCCAGTAAAAATAATATAACACTCATTTGTAGTATGCCCATATAGCAGAGAAGTGTGACTTTCTCCACTGGCATTCTGCATCGTCCAAGTAGGAGCAGAGATGGTGAATGATGGGAGTAATCCAGGGTTGGGGTTTCACAAGGCATGATTAGCAAGATGACAGGAGGATAAGGGATTTCAGGGTAGAGGACAGGGTATAATTGAATTGCTTAACTATAGGATCAAGATTGTAAAGGAAGGGAAATTAAGCCAGAACAAAGACTAGGAAAGCAAGGGAAAGTGAAATACCTGGAGGTAGTAGTGATAATGAAGAAGAGGTTTAGGAGGACTGAGGCAAAGGGAGAGGTAGGAGGGTCAATATAGGTCAGAACTGTGGTCAAGCATAGGAATTACAGAATTCTGAATCATGAAGGTAGAATATTGTGCAATGGTGAGATCAAAGGTTGACTATCCCTATGTATCAGCTTTTTTTCACTGTAAGCCAGGTACTATTCAGCTCCTTGAGAAAGGAGGGAGAATGAGCTAGGGTCCAGTAGAAAACTACTACCAGGATATGATTTGGGTGTTATAGAAAGAAAGAGAGAGTCGTAAAGAAGGCAGGTTACTGAAAGATGGCAACAGAGGAAGGTGTGGAAGTAGCAGTGAAGGGCTAGAAAAAAATAACTATTCCTCCTCCTGACCCAGTGTGTCATGGTGAAGAGGGGGAGAGAGAATAAAGTGCATTCAGAACTACAGAGACCTCAGGATATGGTATATTCTAGGGGCAGCAAGATTCTCATGGATGTGAGAAGACAAAAATGTGAAAATAATGCCTTCTAAGACAGCACAGTCTGCTTTTGGACAATGGTTTGCATCAGTGGGTGATACCACCTTCTTGTTCCTTCCTCCGTCCAACCTATAGTGCAACCTTGCAGCTCCATACCAGTTCACAGTATGGGACTTGAGGAGTTCTCACAGTTTTTACACCTCAAGAACGACACTGCCTTCCCAGAGACTTGTATCCATTTACTCTTCTTGTTTTCCTTGTTCTAGGCTGTTGACTATGAGATGAACAGAGCTTTCATGCTTACTGTGATGGTATCCAATCAAGCACCCCTGGCCAGTGGGATCCAGATGTCCTTCCAGTCTACAGCAGGAGTGACCATCTCAGTCATGGACATTAATGAGGCCCCGTATTTCCCTTCTAACCACAAGCTGATCCGCCTAGAGGAAGGTGTTCCTATGGGGACAGTACTGACCACATTTTCTGCTGTGGATCCTGACAGGTTCATGCAACAGGCAGTAAGGTGAGTCCCTGAAGGAAAGAAAATCTTTGACCCAAAGGTGATAGCTCAGGTTTACCCAGCTAAGTTGTCCTGGAAGAATACCTTGGGAAAAGCTGCCCAGACCCAGAGCTCAGGTGCCTTACTCACTGTAAAAATCAAAATCAAACTTGCTTCCCTGACTTCCTTCTCCTCTGTTGAGACACCATAGAAAAGAGTCCCAAGTGGCTATCACAAAGTTCTTATTCACCAGACTCATACTCCCCAGGTTAAAAAAAAAAAAAAAGGAAGAATACCTCACTCCTCTCTTACGTATTCCTTATCCTTATTTTGGCCTCATCATTCCACCCCTCCCTGCTATGCCAGCCCACCATGCCTCCTCTGATTTAACTTTCCTCCCTTTTTTAGTCTTAACACTATGGTTAACCAATTTAATCATATGCTGTCCCTTTCCCTAGGAATCCCTTGTCCCCTTGTCCTGTTGTCACGCATGTCTTGCCAAATCCCAGCCCTGGGTTTTCTGCTACAATCTACTTTTGTTATCCCTGTACATGTGTTGCAGTACACTGATGGAGAAAGTCACACAGTCATGTCAGTTAGGTCCATTACAAATGTATATTGTCCAAGTTCTACTAGACCCTTGCTACTGTTGTTGCACAGCAGTCCTCTTATTTATTCTTATTCATCCCTGGTTCATGTTCATTCTCTTCTCTCTCTCTCTCTCTCTCTCTCTCTCTCTCTCTCTCTCTCTCTCTCTCTCTCTCTCTCCCTCCCCCTCTCTTCCCTCTCTCTCCCTTTCTCCCTCCTTCCCTGCTCCCTCCTCCCCTCTCTCCCCTCACCTATTCCAAACCCTCTCTTCTCTCCTCAAACCTCCACCACCCCTCTACTTTCACTCTCAGCAGAGAGCCTTGTCTTCTGATTTACTAAGCACCATCTGACACATGAGTGTCATTTTCTTCATGGTTCAACGTCTCAAAAAGCTCTCTATAACATCAAAATCAGCTAGTCGAATACTTTTATTTTACAGATGAAGAAACTAAAACCCCAAAAGGTTAAGCAACTTGCTCACAGTTACACTAGTAAGTGTTTGAAGCAGGATGTGAACTCGGGCCTTCCTGGCTTCAAGTCCAACAGTATATGCACTAGATTATGCTTCCTCTTTGTCTAAGAACCAGCCTAACTAAAACATGGTGAGGCTCATCAGCTGATTGACTAAAGAGAGATATGGGTTTGGGCCATGAACTTCAAAGACCATTTACTTACTAAATCACAGAGATTTTTTATCTACATAAGTAGAGAGAATAACCCCATGAATAAAATCCTCAGATTCTTGACATAGTTGAGCAAGCAGGCAGTGAGTCCATCTCCCTGTTTGCCTGGTGGAGAAAGTCCTGAGTCAAGGGATTTTGGAGGAGTGCAGAAAAACTTTGGAGATATGCCTTAATCCACTACCTCTTCACACTATCCTTATTCGGCCTGAGCTAAGGGACCTGCTCAAGATCCCTTATAAAAGAACATGACCCAGAGAAGTACTGCATTGTCGCCTCCACAGAATGGCCAGCTTGGCCATTCAGGAGGCTCGGCAGGGTTGGAGAAGCCTCAGACTTGTACAGTCTAGCCATCATATCCAAAAGTGCCTCCCCTAACAACCTCCAGCCAGGGGCTGTTCAACTTCTCTAGCTGAAGTTCCCAGACCACACATTTTGTGGAAAAATTGTTGTTTTGCCAGTGGATCAAGTGGCACATTTTGAAAACAAAAGGCATAAAGCTGTTTACCTGGGGTTTATCGCAGAGAACAGTGCTTTGCCATAGCAGACTGAGGCTATTAAGTTCAGCTGAGCTTTTCCCCAGCACAGCTTTCTGAAATGCAAAATGAGGTTTCTTTCCCCCTGTGGCTGACGCAGCAAAAAGATGAGAGAGGAACTAGTCAAAGAAGCCTGCAAGGAAAGGCAGATTTGAGAGCCATAAGGACTGGATACAATCCTGAGTGTGTAAATGGGGTCCCTGCTTTACAAAATGGGTGAGTTTCTGAAAAGATTTTTATATATGAAATCATTATAAACTGCTTCTTGTTTCAAAGGTGCTGCAGGCACTTGGAATCAGGAAGACCTTGGTTCAAATTCCTCCCCCTCATATTTACTAGTTTGTATGACCCTGGGTGAGTCATTTAACCTCTGTGCCTCAACTCCTTATCTATAAAATGAAGGGGTTAGACCCAGTGATCTCTAAGGTTGCTTAAAATTCTAAATCTATGAACTTTGATCAATTTCCAATTCAATTCAACAAGCATTTGTTAAGTGAGGCACTGTGGAGACAGAGTTAACATGAAAAACAGTCAGTCCTCAAGGAGTTTCCATTCTACTGTAAGGGATGCAGGGAAAATGAGGGAGGAATCATTAACTCCTAAGGGGATCCAGAGAGACTTCCTGTAAGAGATGGTACATAAACTGAGTCTTGAAGGAAGCTGGGAATTCTAGGAGGTAGAGGTGGCATGCTGGGCATGAGGGACAGACTGTACAAAGGCAGAGGGATGGATGATAAAGCGCCACGTCTGGGGAATGGCAAGTTGACCTATTTCGCTGGAATAATGAGTACATGAAGGGGAGACGGTGGGTAAAAAATGTGGAATTCAACAAGAATTCTAAGGTGAATTATTTTGCAAAACTAATAATTACCCACTTGGTCATCTGATGGGAAAGAAAGGATACAAAAGATATAATCACGTATTTAAAGACTTTACAATCTAAAGAGACATAGCAAAACTTCCGAAGGAGAAAGACATTAGAAATCTTTCCAAAGCAATATACTCGCAACCCCAGATGAGCACATTAACTTAATACTAGGGGAGGATTGAGGGCAGAATCAAAGCCAATGGGAGGGTGGGGAGGAAATAATCAAGATTCGGCTTTCCTCAAACCTTCTCCAAGCCTCAGTTTCCTTATTTGTAAAATGAGGAGTTTGGAGGAGATGCCCCATCCAACTTTATTTTATTTATCCAATTTTATGATCTTATAATTATAAGTAGAAAGAGAAAAGCTGGGCTTCTCCCAGTGAATAGAGAGTCATCTGCTAGGAGGCCTATAGGGTAATTTACAAGGAGAAAAATCAGGAGAGTCTGCTACGCCGAACAGCTTCACCAAGCATCCTGGGATGCTAGTAACATTGTCTCATGCTGATATTAAGTATGAGCTGGCTCTGGCTCTTGGATCTCTGGAGGTGACAACCCTCATTGCTGCCATCTTTCCCCTAATAAGATCAGTGGTACTTAAAAGAAAAAGAAAAAATCCTTTATTTCAAATTCTACCAAGGGCCCATCAAGAGAGAACCTTGCCTCTATTTATTCTTTTTCTCCATAGATACTCCAAGCTGTCCGATCCAGCAAACTGGCTGAACATTAATGCCACGAATGGTCAGATCACCACGGCGGCTGTCCTTGATCGAGAGTCTGTCTACATTAAGAATAATGTCTACGAGGCCACGTTCCTGGCGGCTGACAATGGTGTGGCCCAGATCTGCATTGTTCATGCTTCAGTGAGACCCTAATGTGATGCATTAGCAGGAATGATGCCCTGACAGAGTTGTCAGGATAACTTATCCTTTTCCCAGGTTCTACAGTCAAAAGAAAGGGGGAGAAATGTGAAAGTGGGACAGGAAATTGGTGAAGTAAATTAAATGTGCACAGGATTCAGAATGTGTTATTAAAGGGAAGCCAAGGCAAACAGAGGATTGATTTGGGAAGTTTGCTCAGTGGGGCCTGTGCTATGCTTCTGACAGCTTTGGGAAAAAAGTAGAGAAATTGGAAAAGGAAGATGCAGAAGCCTTTGCAAAGGGCCATGGTCACAGGGAAAAAAGCAGAGGAGCTAGGGTCTGACCTGTCCTTCCATTCATTTAGACAGTCAGGAAGCATTTAGTAAGCACCTACTACATGCTGGGCACTGGGCTAAGTGCTAAGGATGCAAAGAAAGGCAAAAGATAGTCCCGCCCTCAAGGAGCTCACAGTCTATAGGGGGAGACAATATTCAAATAACTATATGCAAATAAGCTCTACACAGGATCAACTGGAGATAACAACAAAGGGAAGATACTGGAATTAAGAGGAATTCTAGGAATCAGGAAAGCCTACTTGGAGAAGGTGGAATTTAGAAAGGCCAACATCACCCACTGCATCCTGGGCCACTGCCAGTTGTCTTGACTTTTGTCTTGCTACCAGACTTTGATGACTCTGGAGGAGAAAGGCAGGCTGAACACCTGGCATAGCTGTGCCTCACTTAAATCCAGTTCACTTGAAAGTCAAGACATCCCCCTCATGATGTCATTGACCCTCTTCCAGAACAAAGGATCAACAACAGCAGTAAGGATTTAGCTGGGACTTGAAAAACGCAAGGAAAGTGAGGAGGGGGAGATAAGGAGGGGGAGAATTCCAAGCATGGGAAGAAATCAGTGAAAATGCCCAGAGTCAGGAAATGATGTATCTTTTCAAAGGAATACCAAGGAGGCCAGTGTCACTGGATCACAGAGTACGTGTAGGGTGAGTTAGGTTTAAGAAGACTAAAAAGGTAGGAGGGGCCATTTGTTTAAGGAACATTTCTTCTCATGTATAAGATACTATGCTAGGAAGCAAGGAGAATATAAGAAAAGTATTTCAGAAAACTTGGGTTTTAGGTGAGCGCTACCCCAATTAACTGTGTGACTTTAGACAGTTCACTTGCCCTTTGGGGTCCTTCAGTGTCATCTTCTTCTAAATAAAGGGGCTAAAAGAGAGAATTCCTAAAACCCCTTGTATTTCTCTGTCCCCACTAGGAGCGATAAGTGAATGTTGCTAACACTTTACCGTTCCCATGAGATGAAAAACTTGCTGTCAGCTAGAATAATACAAAACCAAAATGGGGTCCTGTAAGAGGTAGTTAGTTTCCTGTCACTAGAGGTGTTACCTTGAATGACTGACCACTTGTCAGGGAATGTTCTAGCACAGACTGTAGTTCAGGCTAGATGAGATGGCTTCTGATGGTTCTTCTGTCTAATGGTTCTTTTGTTCTAATCCTGTTCTTCCTGGAAGAAGGTTCTGCAGGTGGGAACTATGGAAAGAAGGGCAAAAAACAAGCTCAAAGTTATTGCTTCTTGGAAAAACATACATGTGTGAAAGCAAAATCCCAGGCTAATGTTAACCCTCTAGTCTCCTCCGAGGTCCTAGCCTTTTAAATGCTATAGGAGGCCACAGTGGCCACTCTATTCCCTGAGCGCTCTGGAAGTCAAAGATGCTGCCCTGATATTTGTAGTGCAAAGACAAAGGGTCTGGTGCCCTTCCCTCTGCTCCCACTGCAGCTCCCAGAATTGAAATTGCATGAAGATTTCTGAAAAATGAATCGTCACTCTAATAGTGCAGCCATAAAAATGCACATGAAAAAACATCTCATTTAAAATTCCTTCCTGAGTGCTCAGGGTAATGGCTAAAGTTTTATCTAGGTTAATAGAATCCCTTTGCATGTCTCCCTGCTTATGTGCTGTGTCATCATCTACTTATCAAAGCAGCTTTTCAAAGGCAAGAACAAAGCTGCGTTTCCTTAAATTTGTTTTGATGTGTTTTGTGAAAGATTAAAGAGACATCCCCTTGGATATATTTTTTACACACGGTCTGCTTCAACAAGAACAGGCAGCTGTTAATGCAAGGTCAGGTGCCTCCATCTGAAGCCAGATCCAGGATTAGAATATTGCTGCTCTCCCCTCTTCTGTCCTTACCTTTGGTAGTGTGGGAGCTATGTCTGCATGCCATCCCATCAGGAGGGCAGTCTGCTCCCCCTGGGAATCAGTCAGGTGGATGGTTTGGAGTCTTGTAGAAGAATTGGCCTTTACAACTGGCTTGATAGTGAATAAGATGTCATTTAAGTTGGTCTCATAAACTCTATGGGTCTCAGTTTCCTCCCCATAAGATGGGATGGGGGAGCAGTCAAAATATCTGTCCTCGGGGACATAGACACACTCTAGATGCCCTAGGTTTTCTGGCTTTGGGGTGTTTGTGAGGCTTGAGTGGCTGCTACATTCATCCCTCCATTCACTAGAGATAGATGGACTTTAGGAAGGGAGCAGGTCAGTAAAGGATCTCCACACTCTCCAAGATTTCTTGGGCTACTAAGGGAACTCTGCCTAGCTGACTGTTGCCTGCAACACATCAGCCTTTGCTTAATAAGTGTCATATGAGGGTTCCTGATCTCCTAGGGCTGAGCTAAGGAGGCATTTTTTGGGTTATGAAGTTGGACAGTGTTTTCATCTGTGCTCAGCAGGAGGCCTAGGGAAGATCTTTGACTAGGTCTATTGGGTCACCTCTTGAGGTAGTGGCAGGACCAAGAATAGATTCCTCAGGTCAGGAATTCTAGTCTATATCAAGCCAGCAGGGTGTAACAGAAAAAAAGGATTAGACAAACTAGGATTCACAAGACCTGGGATCTACTCCCTGATTCTTCGACAATAATATGTGTGACCTTGGACAAATTCTTTGATCTCTGTAAATCTCAGTTTACTCAGGTGTATTATGGGACCTGTAATGCATGCTCTACCTTCCTAGGTCCTATCGTGGAAAGAAAGAATATTAAACTGAATGTCATAAGACCTGGCTCTTTCATCAAGGAACAGTAGAAAGGGTGGACAGGATTTTGAGCCAAAAATCTGAGCTTTGATCCCTCATGTGCTTATTCTCTGTATGACCTAGAGCAAGTCATTCTCTTCTGGGTCTCAATTTCTCCATCTATGAAATGAATGGAGTGAATTGAAGATCCCCTATAATACTCCGTAACATAATAATGATATATCACATTTCTATAGCACTTTAAGGTTTACAAAGTACTTTGCATACATTACCTTGTTTGATCCTTTCAACAACCCTGTGCTATTATTTTCCCCATTTTACAGATAAGGAAACTGAGACTTGGGTTCCGTGACTTGCCAAGGTCATTTGAATCAAGCCAGATCTTCAATTTTTGTGTGTATTTTTTTGTAAAGCTCCTGTAGAAATGTAAGGCATTCTTAACCAGTGACACACACACCCCTCAAAAAGTCACTGAGGCTCAGAGTAAATTAGGACTTGTAAAAACTGTCCCAAGCCACTCACTAAAGAGGTTAGATCTTTGAGTTTAAACTTTAGATTATTAAGGGGCAGGGTGAGTGTTATTAGTTCTAAAGAACCTCAATTAATACTCCTTGTGATCTTTCCCACAGCTGGACCTTGTAATCATTGAAACATAGTATTTAGAGCTGGAAGGGACCACGGAGTCCAGTCCAACCTGTTCATTTTATAAAAATGATATCTAATAATTTTAAGTAGCATTTATATATCACTTTCAGATTCACAAAGCACTCTACAAATATTATCTCATTTGATCTTCATATCATCTTGTGAGGTATCCTTTTTGTATAGATGAGGAAACTGAGGCAGACAGAGGTTAAGGGGTTTGTCCAGGATCACACAGCTAGTTAGTGAGGACATATTTGAACTCAGATTGTCTGATTCTAGGTCTGGCACTATATCCACTAAGTAATCATTTTAAGCACGAGACATCTAAGGCCCAGAGAGTGACTTTCCCAAGGTCACACAATTTTTAAGTGAGTTGATGAAGCCTGAATTTGCCCAAGCTCATTTAGGAACCAAGTAACAGAGTCAGGATTCAAATTCAGGACCTCCAAACTCAGTGTTGATACCACACTCCTCATCTGTGAGTATAATGAGATCAGAAAAAAGGGGGAAGGGAGAAAGGGCCTTATGGGGGGGGAGAAGGAGAGAAAGAGGAATAGGAAGAAGAAAAGGAAGAAGAAGAGCAATAACAACTTATAGAGTACTTCAAGGTTTACAAAGCACTTTTTATTTGATTTTCATAACACTTGGGAGGTAGATGCTATTATTATCCCCATTTTTACAGATGAGGAAACTGAAGCAAAGAGAGGTTAAGTGAATTGCCCAAGATGTAAGATTGGACTTGAACTCATCTTCCTGACTTCAAGTCTAACATGCTATCTTCCATACAACTTTGATGCCCTGAACATAATGTAGATCCTACATAAAAACTGGAAGTCAGGGCATCATTCTGTTCAAGATCTAATAGCCTGAGAGCTGGCCTCCAAAGAAGTCCCTTATCAGCCCTTGGAGTAATTAGTGGGGGAGTGGCGGTGGCAGGGTGGAAATTTCTGCTAAAAGGATGGGTGATGAGTCAGAGAATCTGATCTGACTCTCTGTGACAAGGTGCCCATGCCAAAGTTCAGGGTTGGAAAACCTAGGCAATGGAGGGAGACCGAAGTAGGAGTTGTGAAGAAGGCAAGAACAGAGAGCTTTAAAGCCCAGATGAGGACCTGGCTGCCCAAGGGGCACCTGTTACGAGAGAGAAAGGATAGAGAAATAAATACTGGTGGCAGTTCTTTATGCAGCTGTTGTTGCTATGATGACGACGACAATGAAGATGAAAAGATCACTAAAAGGAAGTAACAGAAATACCAGTAGTGGTCCCAGAGAACAAGTAATGAAACATACCTCCCTCCTCTCAGTAGAGAATTGAAGGATTACAAGGTCAGATTATTGCATCAATCATCAGGTTCAGACACGGTACTGGGGTTTTCTACTTAACTATTTTTCTTTGTTATAAAAGAGAGCTCAATTCTAGGTGAGGAAGGATGTGTATCTAGAAATGCCTGTTATATAAAAACAAAAAGCATCAATAAAACTGTTTATGATTATATTATCAGTAGTAGCTGAGTGGTACAGTGGATAGAATGTGAAACCTTGAGTCAGGAAGACCTAATTTCAAATCCTAATGGTGACATTTACCAGTTGAGTGACCCTGAGTAACCAATTCACCTAATCGCTCTCAGCCTCAGTTTCTTCATCTGTAAATAGCACCTACATCACAGAATTGTTGTGTTCTAATTATATAACATATATAAAGCACTTCTGCAAACCTTAGAGCATTATATAAACGTTAGTTATTATTAATACAACCGATGTCAAAGATAGAGGGGGAGGGGGAGAGGAAGGAGAAGAGGGAAAGAAGGAAAAAGAGAGGGAGAGAAAAGAGAGGAGAGAGAGAGAAGACAGGAGAGAGGGAGGGAGGGAGACAGGAAAGAGAGAGAGGGAGGGAGGGAGAGAGGGAGAGAGAGGGAGAGGGAGTTTATTAAGTGCTCACTATATGCCAGTATAAGCCCTGGGGATATAAATACAAGTAAGCAACACAATACCTCTCCTCAAGGAGTTTACATTCCAATAGGGGAAGATAACACATAAAGGGAAGCTGGAAAACAGAGTTGGGGAGAGATACACCCACAATAACTGTGGTTTGAAGTTGGCCAGGAAGTGGTATGGAAACCTGAGCCCTGGCAAGATAAGGTAAACTGACCAGAGCCACTAGACCCAGAGGTGGAGTCCAAATTACCAGTGAGGAAGATGTGCAGGTGACCATCCCAGGGAAAGTCTAATGTTATATGGTCAACCCATATAACATCAGTCTTTCAATGGGGGAGGAAGTTAATAATTGAGGAAACATAGTTTGACCCCTGGTATTTCCAAATTCATTTAATGAATCATATTCTAAAGGGGTTCTGCCAAACCAAGTGGGAAAGAATTAATGACTGAAATGGTAACAAAACCCTATCCCACTTACTGTTTTGGTATTTTCATCATCAATATGACAGTCATGGTCAAGTGCAAGGTAGCACAATGCAGAGGACTGAGCATTAGAATCAGTCAAAAGACTTGGGATCCTGTCTGTGAGCCTCAGTTTCCTCATCTGTAATATAGGAATAAATAATACATATAATACCTACCCCACAAGAGTATCATAAGGAACAAATGAAAAATGAACTTGGAAGCGTCTTGTAAACTATATAGCTTTGTGCAAATGAGATATTGTTGTTGTTGTAATTGTTATTGCAATACCCCATGTAGGTGTATATGATTATATTCTAGGTGTTTTTGTCTATGTCAGTTTCTGTGTGGGTTGTATGTGACTGTGCCTTTATGAATATGGTGGTAGTGAGTTGGGCAGTTCTGGGTGTGATCTTGCTGTCTGACCCATCTCTCCTTCCACAGGGATCCCCCCAGCTAGCGGCACAGGGACACTGCAGATCTATCTCATAGACATCAATGACAATGCCCCAGAGCTGCTGCCTAAGGAGGCCCAGGTGTGTGAGAAGCCCAACCTGAATGTTATCAACATCACAGCTGCAGATGCTGACATCGATCCCAACATCGGCCCATACGTCTTCGAGCTGCCCTTCATGCCATCAGCTGTGCGGAAAAATTGGACCATCACCCGGTTAAATGGTAAAGGTCTGGCAGCTGACTTGGGACTCCAAACTGTCACTATAAGTTCCCCTCTGCCTTCCTCCACCTTCCTCCTGTCCCCTGCCCATCACAGTACAAGCCCAAGAGCTCATCAGGGAAGATTCATATCAGATCTGCTGCAGAAACGCTTAGTGTCCTGGCACTAAGCTTGGCTAATGCAGCTCATAATATGAGTGGTTATCAGGACCAGGCTGGGTATTAATCATCCACAATGGCTGAGAGGAGAAGGCAATTATCCATCTTCCTGGTGTCCCAGAGCAATTGGCCCAAGCCATGGTCAGGATCAATGGCTATGCCTTGGGCTATAATCACCCAAAGGTGGCCTCTTAATAGTGGGCAGAGGGAAATAGGAAGATGCCCTGTCACAGATGTCATACAGCTTCTAAGCAGATGCCAGACAGCCATTCCTGCACATGGGTGAAGGCAGAGAATGGGCCAGTTCAGTCCAAGACAAAGTTAGCAGATGGGACTATTATGTTGCTTTTGGATCTTTACTCCTGTCCCCAACCCCCCTCCCCCATATTCCAGGCTAGAAGATGCTATCCTGGTACTGTCTCTCACCCTTCAGTAAGAGGTATGTGCCTACATTGCTGAATCACTTACAATCCTTGAGGGCAGCAGCCATTTCATTTTTTACTTTGCATCCCCTAGTCAGTCATTTATTAAGCATTCTCTATGTGCTAGGCACTGTCCTAAGCTTGGGGGTACAAAGAAAAGGAAAAAAACAGACTTCCTTCAAGGAACTCAGAGTCTAATGGATTAGTTCCTGATTTATCAGTAGTTTCATCAGCCAGCATTTTTTAAGCACCTACTATGTGCCAGGGACTAAGCTAAATTGACTTGCTAAGCATATTATAGGTATTCAATAGATGCTTATTGAATTGAGACCAGAGCAGGAGTGAAAAACTTTCATCTAAATTGTCACTGAGTCAAAGGATTAAGAGCTAGGAGAGAGTTCAGAGATCACCTAATCCAAACTCATTTTATAGGTAATGAAAGTGAGTGAGGTCCAAAGAAGTCAAATGTTTTGGGCACGGATTTGAACCAAGGTACTCTGACTCCAAATCCAGTATTCTTTTCCATGTACTGCCTCTTCACTCCCTTGTTGTTATTCAGTCGTGTCTGACTCTTCACGACCCCATTTTGGGTTTTTGACAAAGATGCTGTAGTGGTTTACTATTTCCTTCTCTAGCTCATTTTACCCGATGAGAAGACTGACACACAGAGGGCTAAGTGACTTGCCCAGGATCACAGCTAGTAAGTGTTAAAGGCTGGATTTGTACTGGTTTTCCTGACTCAGGCCTTCCTGACTCAAGCCTGGTGCTCTCTTCACTGCACCATCTAGCTGCCTCTTCACTCCCTAAGATTGCTTAATTACTAGCTAACCCGAAGGCATTTTTCCTAGAGAATGTCAGCGCATGGATGAGAAATGCCATCCTGACAAGAAGGAGGTGGAAGTCACATAATATAGCCAGAATAAAACTTATCATCCCCCAGAGAGAGGACAGAATTATCTTGTTAGGCCCTGTGATGTGGTCTCATGGAAAACCAAAGGGATAGCCACCCTCTTTAGTCGGAGTCTAAAGGATTCCGGTCAGTGGAATGGAAAAAGCTCTATGAGCTAAGACACGAGACTTATGTTCTAGCTTTGCCTCTGCTGGCTTTAGCTATGTGTTTTTGAGCAAGTCACTAGCTTTGATTTTCTCCTCTCTCAAGTAGGAGATCATAACAACTGCTCTATCTTATGATCAAATAAGATAACAGATAGGGGGAAATTTTCCAAAAGGGAAAAAGTGCTGGAGAAACCTGAAAATACTGTTACTTTTATTTTACGTAGGCATTACTTCCTTTCCTCTCTAACCCCTCAGGCTCCCAGAGAGAACATCTCAGGGCCTGACCTGTGGGGAATGAAGCCTTGACTTCCCAATAGATACGTACTTGGTCAATGGTGAAAATTCATGAAACTCCTGCAAATGTCTTCAGGAAATATCTGAGTAGAAACTCTTGGGATCTCCAAGCTAGTTGGAGGCAGTGGAAAGAGCATAGAGCTTGCAGTGAAAAGGGACTTGGTTTGTCTACTAAATGTGTGACAATGGACAAGTCACCGGACCTCTTCTGAACCTTAATTTCCTCGTTGTTTAAATGGAAATAATGCCTGCGGTATTTACCTGATAGGACTGTTATCCTGAATAAGATAACCAACCAATCAATAAATATGTATTGAGCATTCACTGTGTACCAGACACTCTGCTAAGTAAAATGCTCTGGAAATCTTAAAGGACTATGTATACTTTATGCTTACCTGCTTGTGTATATGTGGTGTCCCCTCGGTAGAATGGAAGTTCCTTGAGGACAGGACTTGCTTTGTTCTTCGTTGGAATCCCCAGTGCCTAGCATGGTGCCTGGCATTTAATGGGAAGAGGTTCAGAGATACAGAGCTAAAAGGAACATTAAAAAATCATCCAATCCAAACCCCTCATTTTATACAGGAAGAAACTGAGGGTCAAAGAAGCTGAGCAATTTACTTAGGGTAGTGCCACTAGTGTCTACAGCTAGATTCAAACCCAGGTTTTCCTGACCCCAAGCCCAACATCCTATCCACTATGTCAGGCTGCCTCTCCGCTGCTATAATTATCACTATTACTAGCCCAAAGTCCACTCTATCTGGAGGCTTCCACTGTCTCCCTACTGACCAACACAGACCAAGCTCCCAGTATGTGATGTGCTTGAGTGTCCTTGCCTCCCTCCCTCTTAATCTGGCTGTGGTAAAGGGCAGCAGGAGGGAGAGTGTGAAGGAAAGGCTGTTGATGAGTGCCAGTGTGACATCCAGAGTTAAGTGCTCTCATGTCAGAGCTTTGTATAGGAGAGCTTGTTAAGCTTAGCACCAAAGCCTAAAGGAGGAAGGGCACTCACCTGCAGTCCCAACTCGACTGAAATAAAAAAGAATGTCTTTAAAACAAAAGCAAGAAATAACTCTGGAAACTGGAGATGCCTAGTTCATTTTAAAGAATTCCAAAATCTAGCTGGAACCCCACTAACATAAGGAGCCCAAGCAGAATCAGACTTATTTTTAGAAAGGACTAAACTTTACTAATTGATCCAAATTCTCCTAGCACCTCACTATTTCCTCCTGTTATCTGACTCTGAGCTTCCAGGTTCCATACAGGCCTAGCAACACCCAGGCCATACTTTTCATTTTTTCTCCTTTGCCCCTTTCTTTTCATACTTGCCCCTTTCCTATTTATCTTTTTCTCTCTCCTGTGTCCTCCCTTCATCATTCTTTTTACCCCATTTCCTTTCCTCTATCATTCTGTCTCCTCTGCTTTTCTTCTACCTTCACTTTTTTCTTTCATCTCATTCCTTGTTCTCTTTTATCCTCTTCTCCTTTCTTTATTCTCTTCCTCTCTTCTCCACCTCTCTTCTCTCCCCCATCCCCTCCTTTCTTCTTCAATTCAACATTTATTAAGTGTCTACTATAGTGTCAGAAGCTATGTAAGGTGCTAGGGAAGCCAGAGACAAAAAATCAAAATAATCCCTGCCCTTATATTCTCCTTCTCTATTTCCCTCCTTTTAAGTCACTCTCTCTTTCTCCTTCCCTCTCATCCTTACTTTTTTCCCTTTCCCCTATCTCTGATTATCCATAGGTTTTAGTATCTCATAGTAAGCCCCTTTTGAAAAAAGCACATAGTGAATTCAACTTGGTGCTGTCACCAATGCCTTTTAGGCAGATCACGGATCAGGGTTAACCCACTCTCATGGATTTGATTAGAGATAGGTTTGGGAATATGATGACAATGTCCCAGCTTCCCTCTTGCTTATGCACGCAGAGCCCCACAGTTCAGCAGACTTAGCTTGTATTGGGAATGTTCCCCAGCAACATGTACTCATCGAGGTCTGCTTGTTTTGCTCCAGGTGACTATGCCCAGCTCAGCTTGCGTATCATGTACCTGGAGGCTGGAATGTATGATGTTCCCATCATTGTCACAGACTCAGGGAACCCGCCTCTGTCCAACATGTCTATCATCAAAGTCAAAGTGTGCCCTTGTGATGAGAATGGAGACTGCACCACCATTGGCGCAGTGGCTGCTGCCGGCCTAGGCACGGGGGCCATCGTTGCCATCCTCATATGTATCATCATTTTGCTAAGTGAGTATTGCTTCTACTGGAGAAGGGAAGAAGGGGAGGAGGGGCACCTAGGCCCTTGGCTCATGTCCAATATTTGTGCCCAAGCTTCCATGCACCAGACAAATTGCTCCCTAGACTGGAACCCCTAAGAATATGTAAACTGTAGCTATATAGGTTTTCTGGGACGATGACATGGGATATTGGCAGAATGGTCTGATACATATATTTTTAACTCTTATAGTGATGAGACCTTATAATAACATAGTTTTAAGGAATCACGGAGATCATCCAGAGTCCAAGTCCTATATTCTATAGAAGAAGGAACTGAAGCCCAGGGAGACAAAATGATTTTCCCCAGGGTCACATGACACTGGAGCTGGGACTAAATTCTTCCCTCTACCACGTATTACCTGGGTGATCTTGGGTGAGTTACTTAGTCTCTCTGGGCCTCGGTTCCCTTGTCTGTAGAGTGAAGAGATTGAATGAGATGACCTCCAAGGTCCATTTCCTCCCTGAATCTATGACAACACTGCCTCACTAACTTGGTCCAGATTGCTTATGAGGAGAATGAAAACCAGGTGGAAGAAGAAATGACTAAAACTAAGAAAAGAATGATGAGGCACTAAGTAAGTGTAGGGTCACATTTAAAGACAAGGCCATCCAGCCTACCTTTGTCCCTGTTTAGTCTATACCTCCACCTATGCATGTTTTCTCGCCAGATGGAATGTAAACTCCTTGAGGACAGGGACTTTTGCTTTTATCTTTGTGTGACCAGTGCCTATAAGAGAGCCTAGCAGCTAGTAGGTGCTTAATAAATGCTCATCAATTGATTAACTGATTGATAACATAGTAAGTATATTTGAGAAATACAAAATAAATAACTCCACAATGTCAGAGGTGACAAGAGCCAAAGAAGGGATGAGTTTTCTTGCCTTCAACTCTAGGGCATGGGAGGCATTATAGTGATATAGACAAAGGTAGGTCAGGGTTGGAGTGGGGAAGGGTAACATTTACTATCCAAACCTCAAAGGGCTTCCTGTGTGTGCAGTAGGGGCTAAGCTGATGGGGACCATCCCATGGAGCATGTGAAGAACTGCCCTGGCTCAGCACTAGAGGACCTGGCTCTTTGGGACAATGAAGCAATCCCCTTATTGGTCTCACCATGGAGACAAGGGGTGTCTACATTAAGGATAAAAGATCACACAGGAAGAGCAAGGGAGTCAAAGGGTGGGGGTCATTCTCTTTAAGGTCCACTGAGGGGGCTACTCTTCCTGGCTTAGTGGCCAATCCTCCTGATGCAGACACCCCTTGCTGACACCCCAAGACTAAAGGCTCAATAAAGAGACTGCTCTGTCATCCCACATTACCCCATGTCCCTCATTGCTAAGCTAGGCAGTTCAGCTCATGCTCCATGAGCTTATGCCCCACAGACTCAACGCCCACCCCCCACCATTCCCTTAGAGATATTCTCCAGGGGAGTTGGAGGAATTGAGAGAAGCAAAGAGATGGAATCCTGCGAGGCCATTTATGGAATCATGGAGCATCAGAACTGTTAAGGACATTTTAGGCACCTAAGTAGCATAATAGATTTGAAATCAGCAAGATTTGGGTTTGAATCCTGCTCTTAGCTATGAAACTGACCCTGAGAAAGTCATGTAACCTCTCTCAGTTTCCTCATCTGTAAAATGGATATAATAATAGCACCTACTTTACATGGTTACTATGAAGCTCAAATGATGTAACATACATGACACAAATGATCTACATAAAGCATTTTGCAAACCTTAAAGTATTATATAAATACTAGCCTTTATTATCTTATTCATAAGGCAACTGAGGTCCAGGAAAAGAAACTTTCTAAAGGTCATATAGTGAGTTAGTGACAAAGCCAGGACTCCAACCCAGGTCTTCTCACCCCTAGTCCATCTATCCTCCCCCAACTGATAGCAGGGCGAATTTTGCCCTGTCCACTATGGGAAAGAAACTAAATCACCACTTGGACTGCTGTTCTGAAGCATCAGTTGCCTGTGAGCTGCCCAAGGAAACTCAAGAATCTAAATTTGAGCCCTACTGAGGCCAGGAAATGTCCTGTTCTTATTTTCAGTTTTGTTTTATTTTGGTTTGGTTTTTTTGAACCTCAGGAATCTACCTTAGTGGGTAGAGAAAGGTACTTCTCCTCTAAAACCCAATGAAGTGGTCACTGGCCACATCCCAACATTGAACCAAGGCCCATGAGTTTGGATTGGACTACTTGAATTCTGAGGAAGGGACAGCTGGACCAAATACACACTTTCTTGGAAATCAGAACTCAGCAGAGTTGTATCTTATTGTGGAAAACAATTGGGAAAACAAGCCAAGGATTAAATGGGGGAGGATGAGGCTGGAGCGAGTACATTATCCTAATGTGCTACAGCATGTGGGTGCCAGGCAGAGCTAATGGCATAAGCTCTGAGATCTCCATTTAAACACACTGGGCCAGGGGATGCGTGAGAAGCAGAGAGATGGAAAACTGTAACTTGGGTTATCTCTAATGGGAGTCCCACTGCTTCTTCCTGCACATTGGGAATGAATATTTACCCCAATGCATATTTTTTTCAGCTTCCCAGGTTTCTGTCCCTACTGTGCCAAAGTTATAACGTTATCATTTTTATCTTTGAATTTGCATAAATTTAGTTAATGTTAGTGCTCATGAAAATGCAAAAAGGACCAGAATGCACAGGCAACAGCCCTGTGGGGCCCTCCAGCGTTCTTTCTTACTCTATCTCCTCCACCTCCTCCACCAGGGTCTCTCACTCCTGTCCCATGCTTTAGCCAAGCAGGTAATAATGCATTCATGTAAGAGCTTCAGAATAACTAGAGGCCCAGGGTCACTCCTAGGGGCCCGTCGCCTGGTGGCCTTTGACCCTGACCTCAATTTTGGTCACCGCTATGCGTGCTGCTGAAGGGGGTGAGCCAGATCTGGCTTCCAGAATCTCATCACATTGGAGGTAGAGGAAGGGCAGTGCTTGGGTCCCTATCCTCACTTATCAACGCCTCCTCAAAATGTTTGTGATGTTCTAAAAAATTGTGAAAGTTTGCATCAGACTTTCAGAAGCTGGGGGGGGGGGCAGAGGAAATCCAGGCTGTAGGGTTTTTTTTATCTTTTTTTTACAAAACTTAACTTCAAGGTACAAGGTAACCTCCTGAACATTCTGTTGACTAAAATTACCTTTGGCTGAAGGGCACTGAATTTAAGAGGTTCTTTTCCTCATTTTCAGATGCATTATCCCCCTTTAAAGGCTGGTTTTTATTAGCAAAGCTTATTTTGACATTCATTGTCAGTCTAATTGACTTTTTTATGCTTGAGAGCTGAAAAAGCCACATGAAGGATAAGAAATGTAATTTATGATGAGTGGGTTTGGGGAGGGAGTAATGCCAGTTGCGGGGAGGGAGTAGAGAAAAGACATTTTCACCGGTTCTGATACTTTTAAATTACACTGACCTTGGCAGTGTGACCTGGCATTCTTGAATGAAGAATGTTTGACCTCTGGCTCAAAATACCTACCATCAGCTTCAAGCCAGTAAGGCTGCCAGAGCAAGGTGTGTGTGTATGTGTGTGTGTGTGTGTGTGTGTGTGTGTGTGTGTGTGTGTATGATCAATTAATCAATCAATAGGCATTTACTAAGTACATACTATGTGCCAGGTACTGTTCCAGGCACTGGGGATATGAAAATAACTACTCTCAAGGAATCTATACTCTAATGTGATTACCTTTGCTTTCACTTTACTTGGTGGGCACAATTCTCACTTGGCCAGTTGGTATGGGGCACAAATCCATAACCACCTACCCATAGAGACAGGTGTAATACTCAGATTCAGCAGGAATCCATGCAGCCTAATCAATACAATGAAGCCATTCTTCCAAGTGAAATGGGAAATACTAAATGAGAAATATCAAAGCAGTTGATAAAAGATGTGACACTTTTCCCTTCAAAACCCCTCTTGAAGCCTGAGTCCTAAAAATATCAAACCAGTTAGTATCTTCAGGAAAAAGAACATTGGCTTGAAAGCTTAGTCCTGGCTCTGCCACTGACTCTGTATGACATCAGACAAATCAGTTTCCCCCCTTTGGGCTTTCCTTTCCTCATCTGTAAAATGGGGGGAGGGAGGGACATTGAACTAAATGATTTCTAGAGTTCCTTCCAGCCCAATACACTCTAGTATTCTGATATTCCTTCATATTTGTTTCTTTCGTTCACTAGCTAAGTTCCCAAAGTGTTTAAGGACTGGCTAGGAAAATCACAGGCCACTGGGGAAGAGAAACTAATTTCTTTGGTTTGTTAAGTTAATAAAAAAATATTTTTTTCAAAAATAATTTTTAAAAAAGAAATGCATAATAAAATGTATCATCTCCGGGGCTTAGATCCAGAAGAGATTGTAGAGGCCATCTATAGCCCATCTGCCTCGTTTTATGGATGAAGAAGTTGAAGCTCAGAGAGGGTTAGCAACTTGCCCAAAATCACACAGGTAATAAGTGGCTGAGCCAGCACCTCAAACTCCAAACCCAGCCCCCTTTTGGAGCCCACCACCAAAAAAAAAATTGATTTCTAGGTGACTCCACGCAGAGTCCAAATGGATTCGTAACTGGAGCAATGCTGCTTTTTATTCTGTTGTGGGAATAAATTGCAAGAACAGGCCCAACTTTGGCTATTGACATGCTAAAAGTCTCTCCTATAAGGAAGCTCTGACAGCATCGCCAATGGCAGGCTTTCCCACCAGGTGGAGAAAGAGAACATTGGAAGCCAGCGTAGCCCTTACAAAACCACCTTTGTGCACCAGGCGGGTAGCTTGTGGTGAATGACTTAGAAAACAGAAAAGGACTTGAAAAAGCTCACTAAATAGCTCAGGGGTTTTATGTCAGAGAGGAGAGTTATATTCCCCTACTGCTCACAAGCAGATCTCAGCTAAGCATTAAAAAAAAAAAAAAAAAAGATGCTGAACTCTGAAAACTGTACCGTGAGCAGGACGAGGCGGCAGCCAG